GAACTGACCCAGATTTTAAGATCGAGCTGTCGGAGCACACGTTTTCGCCAAAGGCTGGCACCTGGCGAGACTCGCGGGGCTCTCCGCCAGCTCGAGCTCAAGGTCAGAAAGGGCAAGCTATAGGAATGTAAGTAAAGCACACAAAGGATTCTAGCCCCGGGATAGAAGCAAACGATAGGAAAATGCATAATACACCTTAGGATTCGAGCCCCAGGAGAGGGGCGATATAACTATCTATCTATATATACATATATGTGTATATATATATATATAGGAATGTGACTCGCAAACTTAGGAGTCGAGCCCCAGCAGAGAGCAATGTGTATATATATATATATATATGTGGAAACAGTCCTGGGTTGGAGCCTTGAGGAGCCCTCTCCGACGACCCTATCAAATAGGGCACATGACGAGGATCCGATTAGCCTGGATCCAAAGGTAAGAAGGCACGCTTTGCTGACAAGCTTGTAAGCAGCATTCACGTATCACTGCTGCGTTTTATGCCACTTCTCTTGCAACGAGACGCCCAATCAACACTAGTTTGTGCAGAGCATCCGAAAGGAACTCGACCCCAGCCGCCGTCCAGACAAGTCCGAACAGAGCCGACTTGCATCTCCCGCCCAGGCACCTGGCCAGCAACCATAGTCAAATCGGCAACGGCCTCTCCCTGCGAATAATAAAAGATACAGCAAGACATTCGTGACTGCCCCCACTGGCGAGGAAGTACGGGTGCGACTGTCCATCAGAGATGGTCACATACCAAGTACCCCCAAGTGAGGGTACATAAAGAGCTCCCCTTTAAAGCGCTCATCTTGCAAAACATCTTGACCGTCCCAACAAAAGGCCGAAACCGTCTTGATGTTATATCAGATCCTTACGGGGCATCTTCCTTCTTCCGCGGCCCAATGCGAAGCTCGGAAATACCGGATGATCTTGTAAGGAGGATGACGAAGGGGAACACGAGGAAGATGGGGACGACAAAGAGGCAGTGGACGAGTCATGCGGGGAATGGGGAGATACACGTAAAACACGCGAACAAGAAGGATTCAACCCTGGTGGCCTGGACACGTGCAAACACGTGGTTCCAGCTCGGGACAACCGTGTTGGATACTTCCACAGGGTGGCCTGGATACGCTGAATTCGCGCTCCCGCCCGAGACATCCTCGCAATGTCTTCCCTGACGAGGCTCCCAAAGCGCCACCCCCTGTCCAGACCGAAAAAAATTACACTTCTTAGTATTGGGATATGTGTTCGGAGGGCGCTTTTCGGCCCCCCGTGCGTTTCCTGATAATCCGACGCTGCTCCCGACGCCATGTTAGATAGCCCCTGGGCGGCCTGGACACGTAAAAGCACGTGGTTCAATCTCGGGACAACCATGTTACAAACCCCGTATTGGTGGCGTGGAAACGTAAAAACATATGATTCCAGCTCGGGGCAACCATGTTAGATACCACCCTGGGTGGCCTGGACACGTATAAAAACACGGAGTCCCAGCTCGGGACAACCATGTTAGATTCTTCACTGGGTGGCCAGGACTCGTAAATACACCCGGTCTCTTCTGGTGCCAACCGTGTTCGAGACTCCCTTAGGTGACCTGGACACGTAAAACCACATGGTTCCAGCTCGGGGCAATCGTCCCCCTGGGCGGCCTGGATACGTTAAATTCGCGTTTCCGCTCGAGACATCTTCGCTATGTCTTCCCTGACTGGGCCCCCAAAGCGCCACCCCCTGTCCAGAGCAGACAAGCATCACTTTTCAGTATTGGGGTACGCATTCGGGGGGCGCTTTTCGGCCCCCCGTGCGGTTCCTGATAATGCGGCGCCGGCCCAGACGCCATGTGAGAATTTCAAGCTAAGTCGTCTATACAACGTCGCCGATGACATCACCATCCAGACGAATGATAGCTACAACCTTGCCAGGGAGACGGCCGTTCAGGCCACTCATGCTCTCTGCAGGCGATTGGAGAAATCGGGCCTCGTTACCTCTCTCACGAAGGGCCTCGGCGTTGCCACCAACGCTGATCTGGCCAAGGAGACTCGCGCTGGCCTCAAAACACTGAGATTTCAAATCAGTCCACTCAGCCTGCAATACGGGATGCGACTTCTCGGTCGGGGGTGCTACATCGGCTCTCGGATTCAGAAGGCTCGGATCGGGAAGAATCGCAGTCGTGCAGGGAAATATCACTCGCTAGAATCGCAGTTCAAGAAGCGCACGACAATTCCCAGAGTCGAAGCGCTTCCAGCAGCCAGGTATGGTATAGGTGTGGTTGGCACGGCGTCCCAGCGGCTTCAGACTCTGCGTTCGGCTATGGCGGATGGCAGTAGTGAAGCGGCCCAAGAGCACTCGAGAACGGTCCAGTTTCTGATTTCGGGTAACGTGATGGCCGACCCCGTGTAGGCTGCCAATCCCCAACTGCTGCTCGCTACGGGAGAGGCGCACCGGGGAAGGCACTGCCTCGGCAGGCCAGCCTTCACTCGGAAGGGTGGCAAGGGACCTCTAGAGCTGTTCTGCGTACCCTCCAGAGGCTCGAGTGGCATCCCGCCAGCGCCACCCTCTAGAAGCTGCCAACCGATATGCACGTAAACCTCGACAAGGTCGAAGCTTGGAGCCTCAGTAGATTCGTTGGCATAGGAACTAAGGAACAGCCTAGCAGCTCCCTCGCAAGTGAACACCAAGGATAGAGCTGCAGCAAGCCGTTGTTGGCCCCTTTGGCTGAGGTATGCGAGGAATACAAATCGAGCGGCAAGTCGCTTGAAGCGTCTGTTCTGGCCACGCATGTGGCAAGCAGAATGGTTACTCAAGAGGAATTAGTTCGGGATCGTCGTGTTCTGACGACTGGTAAATGCAAAGCGTGTGGCTTTCTCCAGGGCGATAGGGTCTTCAGGCTGTTTGGTTGTCCAGGGACGTTTTGTTCAAGAGAGATCGACGACTTCAAGAGGCGAACCTGGGAGCAAGGGGAGCCTGGAGGTCCCGTCCCCACTCGGTGCCTCCTCTCCTCCCCGAACAGGCTATCCCAGATCCCCAAGACCCCTGATGAATGGAAGTGTGTGGTATCCCCACCTGAGGGCTATGTCCAAGGTACTTTGTGTTCTGCCGGTTCGGTCATGGAGGGGGAACGAGGGGGACGAGGGAGGAGGGAGAGAGAAGGGAGGGAGGAGGAAGCGGAGGAGGGGGGAGGAGGAATAGGAAGAGCAGGACGAGGAGGAGAAGAAGGAGGTGTAGGCACGTCAGTGCAGCAGGGTTGGCTTTCGCCGTGACCGATGCGAAAGGATACACCTTGGCCAGTGCGCACGGGCCTCCGCCTCATCCGCTCCAGGACATCTTCGGGGCCGACCAGTTTGCTGTGCTCACGATATTAAGAAACTTCCTCCTCATCCTCCTCCTCCTCGTCCCCCTCCTCCTCCTCGTCCTCCACCTCCTTCCCCCCTCCAACTGATGGTTGTGGTGGTGGAAAAGAGGCCCATTATGCTGTGCTCACGATATTAAGAAATTCGGGTCCAGGAGAGATCGTTCTTGGAGTCGACTGCCAGTCCCTCGTGGATGTCTGGGCCCGAGGCTGGCATCAAAATGTCGCCGGCATGACCTCCGGTGAGTTTGGGGAAGAAGTGTTCTCCAGAGCTCGCTGCAGAGAGAGGAGGGGGTGACAGAACTGTTCAGGGCGCCAGCCCATGAGAACAGATGGAAAGCGGCAGCCCTCGTCTGCCCATCGTGGGCCCGGCACGCCAATCAAGCACGTGAACTCTTGGCACGACCTGCAGCGGCCCACGATGCACACGGCGAGCACCTGCAGAGGCCGGAGGAGAGACTGTCCGAACGGCTGGCCTCTCCTGCTCGCTGTTCAGGCCTGTTGCTGATCACCTTTCCAGGACCAACCTGGGCGACGTAGAGAAAGCTACAACTAAGGGCAGCGGTAAAGCATCGGACCTTCTGATAGCGCCTGGCCAGGACGGCCACTGTAAGAAGAGCGTCTCGCGACGCGCTTGTTTTCCTCGGGGATGAACTTGTACGGCCCTGGTTCTCACCCCATCACTGGACTGCCAAAGGTAATCAGACCCACACACACACACACACCACACTCACACGCTTTGGGGAGGAGTGGAGGGGATCTCTGGCTCCCGCATGTTTTGGTGTGCTTGGTGCCGGCGATTCGGGCGGGTCTAGGTCCTAAGTCTGTCTCAGGTGTGCAAGGGACACCCTTAAAACAAGGAGGTGGCCCGTCCGTTCGACCTCCTGAATCTTTAGTTGAGTCATACAAGCAACCAGTGGCAGCTGCGTTATCCAGCCCTGGGGGTCAGCACAAGAAGCCGTGCACGGCAGCCGTTCGAGAGGCACCTCGCGTAGGGAACACCATGGTGTGCCCTTACCGAAAGAAAGAAAGAAAGAATAGCGGCATCGATCCCAGCACCAATATTTTCATCGGCCAGAACAGTTCCATTCATCGGGCGCGAAGCTGCCCGACTCCAGACCCCACTTGGCCCAGCCCTGTCCAGCCCAATTTGTTGCTGGACTCACGCCGTGGGACCATTGGCATAAAGGCCGAAAAGAGGGAGAAGGAGGAGGGCGAGGAGGGAGGAGGAGGAGGAGGAGGAGGAGGAGGAGGAGGCAAGCGTACCACGACGACGACGACGACGACGACGACGGCGACGACGACGACGACGACATTCCCTATCCGACCTGCCCAGGGCGGCCCGCCTCGTCGGACGGCACCGTCAAGTGCAGCTCCCGCAGGGCAGCGGAGGAGGAGGGCAAGGAGGAGGAGGAGGCGGAGGAGGGCAAGGAGGAGGAGGAGGAGGAGGAGGAGGGCAAGGAGGAGGAGGAGGAGGAGGAGGAGGGCGAGGAGGAGGAGGAGGAGGAGCAGAGGAGGAGGAGGGCAAGGAGGAGGAGGAGGAGGAGAAGGAGGAGGAGGGCAAGGAGGAGGAGGGCAAGGAGGAGGAGGAGGAGGAGCAGGAGGAGCCTCCCCCTCTTCCCCCCCCATCCCACCCTTGGGCCGGCCGCCTCGCCTGCCCCCGGAGCCGCAGGTCGCCCAGGACGTCCGCCACCTCCGAGAGCGCGTCGCGCACGAGGGCTCGGCTCGCCTGCGTCGCGGCCGTCGTCGCCGCCGGCGCCGCCGCCGCCGCCGCCCTCGCCGCCGTCGTCGCCGTCGTCGCCGTCGTGGCCGTCGCCGCTGTGGCCGTTGCCGTCCGTGCTGTGGAACGTCGTCAACATCGTTGTCATCGCCAGTGCCCGTGGAGGGGAAGCGGCAGAGGAGGAGGACAATGGCAGAGGAGGAAGAAGAGGAAGAGGAGGAGGAGGAGGGCGGAGGAAGAGGAGGAGGAGGAGGGCGGAGAATCGGGGACGGGGGAGGGGGGAGGACGGGGAGGTGGACGGGGAAGAGGAGGAGGTGGGAAGAAGATGGAGGGGATGAGGAGGGGGGGACGAGGGGGATGGAGGGAGAGATTCGGGGCCGGGGGAGGGGTCTGCGGAGATCCGAGGAGGCCAGCGGGGCGCCCCCAAAAGTTCTCAGAGCAAGTCTCCTGGAGGATCTGAACTTTTCGGGTAGGGGGGTGGCGCATGGAGACTCTGAGGCGTCGTGGGAGGGGGCGAACGAGAAGTAGGAGGAGGAGGAGGAGGAGGAGGAGGAGGAGGACCAGTGCAAACCCAAGACTCATCAACGATGTCGGGACAAATCCTCCCAAGATCCCCCTTTCACAAGCCCCTACAAGATCCCCCTTTCACAAGCCCCTACAAAGGTTCATGCCCACTGAAGGTATTGCCCTGTTGGGAGACAACCGTCAGGAGATCCTGCAGCGTAATCTGACGATACTGAATCGTGGCAAAATACCATTCCTGGGATTTCGATACCGCGAATCAACGTAACTGCTGCGTTCTGACAGTCCTGAATCGTTCCAAAGCACCAGTTCTGGTACGTTAACCATGGGAACCCGTGAAATTAATTCCTGCAACTGTTTGAAGGTGAGCGGCGCAAGGCGAGAACCACATTTTGAAAACGGCCCGCCTTCAACACGTGAGACTCATGCAAGTGTTTACAACGAATGCGCGCGGCACTAGCGCGAGAGCCCCATTCTGAAAACGGTCCACCCTCAGTCCGCGACAATTCTGCAAGTGTTTAAGACGAATGCGCGCGGCTGCGCTGTGGCGCGAACCACATGTTGAAAACCATCCGCCCTCAATCCGTGAAACTATTGCACTTGTTCCCAAATCAGAGCTTGCCTGTGTAGGGGTCCTAGCGGATTCATATGGTTAGGTTAGATTTGCCGCCGATTTTCGCCGCACGCCCGGGTGCCCGGATGCACGGGGGTGCCCGGGTGCCCGGGTGCCTGGGTGCCCAGGTGCCCGGGCGTGCCCGGGGCTGCCCGGGTGCCCGGGGGTGCCCTATAGCCATATAGCCCTATAGCCCTATAGCTCAATAGCCCTATAGCCCTATAGCCCTATAGCCCATAAAGCCATATAGCCCGATAGCCCAATAGCCCATATAGCGCCCAAAAGCCCATATAGCCCTGTAGCCCTATAGCCCTACAGCCCTAAAAAGATTATGATTGGGTTTTTCTCCGGTATCATTTAAAATTAATGTCCGCGGCGCTAAGGCGAGCGGCACGAGCCACATTTTGAAAACGGCCCGCCCTCAATCCGTGAAACCCTTGCACATATTAAAAACGAGTGCGCGCGGCGCTCAAGCGAGAACCACATGTTGAAAACGGGCCACCCTCAACCCGTGAAAGTCCTGCAGACGTTTGAAAAAGAATGTGCGCGGCGCTGAAGCGAGACATACATGTTGAAAACCACCTGGTCTCGATCCGTAAAACTCGTGCAAACGTTTAAAAAGAATGTGCGCGGCGCGAAGGCGAGAGCCAAATATTGAAAACGGCCCGCCCTCAACCCTTGAAACTGGTGGAGATGGTGGTTGTAGCGTCACCTGCGAAAAGTTTGCCTCGCCCGGCTGTCAGGCTCGACCGCCTTCGCAAATGGCACACGGTTAACAAAGCGTAATAAAAAGTTACGCCAGGCAGGAGGAAAGGACGAGAGACGGTCGTGCTCCGCGCAGGCTTTCGCCTGGGCGATTCCAACATTGGAACCAACTGACGTCAAGCAAAACTTGCTTCTGCAGCCGATGAAGGAATGGAGGAGGCCTCCTACCTTGGGATCTACCCGGCCGCCATGACATGAGCAACTGCTCATCATTCACAGATCCAGGAAGCACACGGCGCCCGGCATGCTAACGCCGAATCCTGCTGGAGGCAGACGGAGGTTGCTGGGCCCTCGTGGGCACGAAAGAGGCAGAGGGGAAGGAGGGAGAGGGGCGAGGAGGGACAAGCAGAAGGCAGAGCAGGAGGGTCGGGGGGAGGCGCAGCAGAAGTGGGCAGCCAAGTCCCCCGCACTTCGTCGAGGGAGGAGCAGCAACAGCAGCAGCAAGACCCCTCATGCCCAGTGCGAGAATAAGAGAGGGGGAAAGGAGTGGCAGCAGCAGAAGGAGCAGCAGCAGGAGAAAGAGCAGGAGGCTGGCATACGGCAGGTCAAGCCAACAAGAGTGGCGAAGAGCAGACGAGGCTACAAAAAAGGCGAAGGATTGCGAGAAGACGAGGTGTCGCAAAGGGGGCATCTCCACTCCCCAGTTCCTCACCCTCGCCTCCCCTCGCCTCCCTGCATATCCATCCCATCCCTGGTCCGCCTCCACCACTTTTCCTTCTAAATAACTCCTCCCTGTCGAACCCCCAGACGTGTCGGTAGGGCGGGTCGGGCGTTTCGCCTGAGACTTCCTCACCATGTATGATCCTGCAGCTTGAAATTCGCAACAGACTCAAGGATGGAGGGCGGGTCGTTTTCAAAATGTGGCCCTTGTCTAGCACTGCGTATGTTCGTCATACAAGCTTGCAACAGCTTCACGGATGGAGGGAAGGTCCTTTTCACAATGCGGCTCTCACCTAGCGCCGCGCACATTTGTCTTAAAAGTTCGAAACAAATTCAAGGGTGGAGGGCGGGTCCTTTTCAAAATGTGGCTCACGCCCTAGCGCCGCGCACATTCGTTCTCAAGAATATGCAACAGCTTCAAAGATGGAGGGCGGTTCCTGTTCAATCTGTATCTCTCGCCCTTTGGTGCACGGCTTTAGGGGGCTGCGGGGGGACGGGGGGGGGCGAGTTCAAGCACGCCAAACCAATGCGGGGGGCCCTCCTGTTAGCTTTCCTTTTCCCTGTGGCTTGTCTTTTGACCTGCAGAGCGTTCCGGCAGGGGTGCTCCATAACGCGCTGTGGACCCCACCGGCCCTCTGGGCGGAGGTGATTAAGAGCGTTTCCTCTTCCATCCCCCTTTTTCCCTTTCGGGGAAGGGGTTATCACTGCCCCTTGTAAACATACGCACCCTCCCCCACCCGATCGGCGAGAGACCCGGGCCAATGCTGACACCCCCCCATCATCCCTTGTAAAAACCATGCAAAATGCACTTTGCACCTAAATGTGGATCATGCGCGGACGCCCCGCGATGATTTGGCATTGGTTTTGGAAAGGGACGGCGGGGAGGCCAGCATACTGCGTGCTGCGTGCAGGCCCACATCCCTTCCAAGAAACAACTCAGAAAGGTCACTCTGCCAGGGACGCCGGGGGGGGCTGGCCTGCTGTGTGCAATGCCAGCACCCCCCAACCGCTCCTTGCAAGAAACAGTACTACGTGAACTCTGCACCAAAATCTGAATCATGCGCGGACGCATCGCGATCACTTTGCACTGGTTTTGGACAGGAACGGCAGAGGGGCTGGCAGATTGCCTGCTGCGCGCAAGCCTACCACTCCTTTCAGCAAAACATTACAAGTTCACGCTGCCAGGGACGGCGAGGGGGGGGGGGCACATACTGCCTGCTGCGCGCAGGCCCACCATGCCTGTCAAAACAAGTGCAAAGTGATTGCGGGTGCACGCCTACACACAATGTATAATGCTTGTAAAGTCGTAGCCCCTTTGCATTGGAGTTTGACAAGGATAGTGGGGGGTAGACATATTGCCCAATGTGGCGCACCTGGTGCGCGTGGCGCACCTGGCATGTGCGGCGCACCTCGCTGGTTTCTCACACCTGGCTGGCGTCTTCACTGATTCCCGATGGCTGTCCATGGCGCCTCCTGCCTACGCTGAAACTCAGGTGCTACTTATATAGTGGGAGGGCGGGTGGGAGTGAGCGAGACAGCTTGCGGCCTTCTTGCTGGAAACTTGATCACAGCTCCCTAGTGATAAACACCCCCACACCCACCCGACCGGCTGGCAGACAACCTGGACACATGAGCCCAACCCCTCCCACCACCATCCCGTTCAAAAAACCATACAAAATCCGCCGACCCTGTCGGCGTATGTAAGGGGCTTGTCCGGTCGACTCGTCCTCTCCTTCATTCCTTCGTCGTTGTCTCTGTCGCCCCTTTGCCCTGCCTCCCCCTTTCTCTAGGCCCGTCGCCGTTCCCCCTCTTCCTCACAGCCTTCCCCCTGAAGCGCGCAAGCCAAAGCAAAATTGAGCAAAGTTGTAACTGAGTCGAAGGGAAGCCCCTTCCCTTTGATCCCTCCCCCGCCAGGGGGGAGGCGGGGTCCCAGGGGGGGGGGGCCCGGAGGGGGGGGTCCAAGAGGCCTCCAGGAGCACTCCAAAGAGGGCTCCAAGAGGAACAAATAATTGACTCCCCATGCGTTCTTTTTTTTAGATTTTGGCGTTCTCACCTCTTCCGCTTCCCGACGCTCCAAGATGGCCCAAAAGGCCCACAAGAACGCCCCGAGACGGCCCAAGAGGCCTCCAAGAGGGCCCCAAAACGGCCCGAGAGGACCCTAAGACGGCCCAAGACGCTTCCAAGATGGCCCACAAGGCCCCCAAGACGGCTCCAAGAGGGTGCCCAAACGGGAGACCCGAACGGACATTTCGAGCCCTCGGCCCCAAGAGTGCCCCCAGAGGCCCCCAGGAGGCCCCCAGGAGGCGCCAAGAGGCCCCAAAGAGGCTTCCAAGAGGCTCCCAAGAGGCTCCAAAGAGGCTCCCAAGAGGCGCCCAAAGTGCCCCCTTGATGCAAGCAGCATCCCTGAGGACTCTACCCACGTCAGCGTCGTCGTCGTCACCACCGCCGC